TATCATATTTTAAAAAGAAGTTGTAAGAAAAATTTAATAATAACAGAAGAAGGAACTTATATACTGGTTAAACAATATAAATTAATATGTAATTTTAAATTAAAATATATTATATAAATTATTATACTCAAATATACAACAATATAACATGTTTGTTTATTAGTCATTAATGTGCTAAATAATCATGTTTACTTAAGTTCAAGTTCCTTTTTATTTAAAATTAATTTTTATTAAGCAGATAATATCTTTAATATAACTAAATTATATATAAATGTAATTGACTTAGAAGTAAGTTTAAAATACATTACAAGGGTGATCAGGGTTTGAGTTTCATTTTTTTAAATTTTAAACTATTTTTATTATTTCATTTTATTGGTTGAATCTAGATTTATACTAGTTTAATTACGTCATCATTGGTATATTTATGTCATATTTTTTATAAGAAAAAAATTGGCACATTAGTTACAAAAAATAATTATTTATTTTATATAATAAATATAATTTTTTATCCTTCCAAAGTCTTTTTTTTATCAAACTCAAGATGTTAAAATTTAAAGACCAATTATAACACCAGTTAAACCACATGTAATAATGTGTTGTAATTAAAAAATATTATTTTTTCTTGAAGCAAACTATGAAAGTATTCTTTGAACAATAAAGCATCTCCAAACTTCAACACCAAGTATTTTTCAAATAATAAAGTCTCTTCAGACTTTAACACCAATTATTCTTTAGATAATAAAGCTTTTTTTAGGCTTTCAAGCTAAAACACACAATTAAAGTTGGGTAAAAATAACAAAGAGATTCATTTTTCGACTTACTTCATCTTTCTTTGTCTTCCTTCCTTATAAATTAAGATGTTTGTTAGTGCATTATTAAATATATTTCACCAAATAGTCACTTCTTATCTAATCAAGGAGACTATTTGCCACATTTTTAGTACAAAAAGGGAGGAACAATTGCATGTATCAATTAGGAATGACTTTTTAGATGACTTTTCACACTTCAAGATATAATATAAAAGAAAACCAAATCTCCATTCCTTTATAAACTCCAAGTACCAAAAAAGTTTTTATTTCTTCGTTCCGTTAAGGAATATCGAAGAAATAGATGATATCGTAATCAAACATAATAAATGTAATATTTAATGCACTTGTCTTTGACAAATGAAGTGTTCCATTTAAGGGACTTATCAAAAGATATATCATCATGAAGAATCATTTTATGTTAGTCTTAATTTGTGACCTTGAAACAATTTTTTTATTTATCAAAAACGTTTAAGTTTATTATTATTAAAACATATATTTTCGCGGGACCTAAGATCATCCTTTGATATAACAATCTCTCCTTTTTTTTATGATGAGAACCACATTTTAGAAAAACATTTATTTTCACATACAAAGCATGTCAAACAATATCACATTAGAGCCATAAAGAGAAATTCTCACTCGGTCATGATTTGGTCGCTCAATGAGATTGTATTATGATGAAATAGAGAGTTAAGCTTGCTAAATTGCAGGAGTTAACTAAAATTTAGTGAGCAATTTTGTTATCTCTAAATTTAGCTCTATATTTTTGACAAAAATTAATCCTATTGAATTGACTCACACAAACTCAAGTTAATGGGTCCTTTGGTATATGTTTTTTTCTTCTTCTAACATTTAGCTTCTTACCTTTGTTATGGGTCCTTTGAAATGTTATCCTTTTCAAAATCTTCCAAAGCAATCCAAAAAGTGTCTTCATTTTCTACCTTGGTTAGTCGTTCCAATATCATATAACACATTCTCGTTAAGCAACTCAACCCATTGCTGAGCAAGATTACTATTAGGATAATTAGCCTTCAATTTTGAAGGCTTGCACGATGAGCTATCACTCTCGTTAAGCCCTTTTTGAACCCTTCATCATCAAGAAAGTAAAACGGCTTAAGCCCTTCTATAATTACTTAGGCCATTTTTTGGCATATTGCAATCTTCCATTTTTCTTACATAACTTAAGCCTTTTTATTGTGGCCCATTTTTGGTAAGCCCTTCTGACTTAAGCCTTTTTGAGTTGGTGGAGATAAACAACTTTTCTTCCATGAATCTTTCCCAACTTCAATTATTTTCTCTTATCTTTCTTGATTTCCCTTCTCTTATCCTACAAAATATAACCACCAAATTTAACAAAAAAAATACTATATTTTGAATGGATTGGTTCTTTATAAAATAAATATAAAACTATATACAATATTCACATCCTTGGGACAATTTATAAGAAAAAATGGAATGAAAGTATGTCATTTTACATAATAATACTTATGAAATTTAAATAAAAATGACAACTAATAGTCCTATGAGCAAAATGGAGGTTTATTCTCACATGTTAGGGCACATCTTTTTCCAAGCAAGCATGAATCATTATGGAATGTTGGATTTGGAATTTTTCAAAACTAAATTTATGTGGAAATTGAAATGTAGGGAAGGTTATATGGTATCAAGGAGATTGGATAAGGGTGTCTACGATGAAGATTGGAGAATGAACTTTTCGAAAGCCTCGATCAAACATTTGGTTCACCAACATTCAAATCATAACCCGATTATGTTGTGATGTAGTCATTTAGTCTCAAGTAAGGAGAACATACCATTAAGATTTTCAGGTTGCTTGGTGCAATCATAAGGATTATTCAAAGCTAGTTTAGATGACTTGGCAATCGGAGGCAGGTAATATTCCCAAAGCTCTATGTAATGTACAAAGGGAGTCCTTGGTTTTCAACATGGAGATTTTAGGGTATATTTTTTGCAAAAAGAAAGATATGGAGGCTCATTTAAGGCAAATTCAACAATCTCATGAGAGAGTGGATTCCTTTGCTCTTCTTTTTCTCTAAGAGAATATTCAAGAATAAGAGGATGTTTTATTTCAAAAGTAGACTACGTGGTTCTAAAAATCAAGAAAGAAAAGGATTAAACTGGAAAGCAAGAATACTTCATTTATTTTCACACTCTGACGATTATTTTAAGGAAAAAACAAAATTCATGATTTTTTTTCTTCTTTCTCAAGAGTGGTGTACAGATCCCCAACAACTAAAAAAAAGTTAGTGATGTTTTTTTAAAACATATATTTTTGTACTTTAGAAAGATCTAGAGGTGAAGGCCTTCTAACATGAAGTATTTGAGGCTATGGGTCATCCATGAGGCACCAAAATTACTGGCAATAGCAAGTTTTTTAACTTGTTTAAAATTGGAAAATAGTCTTTATATTATATGCGGAGGCATCGTGGAGGCGTGGTGGCGGTGGGGGCATGGCGGCAGCAGAGGTGTCATCTCCTTCCACAGTGGTGGTAGCGAAGACATGACCTCTTTCATGCGGCGGAGGCGCAACCTCCTTCGCGTGGTGGCAACATAGATGTGCGGACTCCTTCAAGCGATGACATCAAAAGCGCGACTTTGTTCGCGCAGTGGCAATGCAGAGGCACGGCCTCCTTCGCGCGGTGGCAGCGGAAGCGCGACTTCATTTGCACGGTGGAAGAGGAGGCGTGGCCTCTTTCTTCGCGCGGTGGCAGCGGAGGCGTGGGCTCCTCCTCCTCGGCGCCATCGGCCTCATGTCCCTCCTATGCTGCTACCTCCCCCCCGTCGTCTACGACGTTCAACTCTCCCAAGGCCTCTCCTAAACCCTAAACCTCGCCACCTCCAAATCTAGCCCTCCCCGCCCCTGGCTCGCCCTCGACGGCCTTGCCGTCACACTCGCCGTTGTCGTCTTTCTCGTCCTCACCACCCGCCGGTGGCCAAAACAATAACCCTAAATAGGGACTAATCTGCAAAATACAAAAATTTTCTTTTCCAAGTTACAGGTAAGAAATCTGAACCCTTGAATTAAATCCAATGATTAAAAATAGTACTTCATCTATGTACCACATTTTATACTCCTTCATTTTATAATTTTTCCTAGAAGTGGTTGATGGGTTTAAGAACCTTGAAGCTTATGGTGGAGAATCGAGATTCTTTGATAACACTTATTACTAAGGAAGAAGTCCATAAAACCTCGATGAGTATGAAGTTATATAAATTCTTAATAATCATGAGATAAATAATTTTTATTTTTAAAATTTATAAAAAAGAATTAGAAGTATCATATACCAACATAATATCACATACAAGAATAAAAAAAAAGATTTTTTCACAAAAACTAAAATCAAAATTTATTTTCTCGAGACTAAAAACACATTCAGATCACCTAATTATGAGTCTGTTTTGTTTAAATTTTAAAAGAAAAGTGTTTCTTAATAAGTGTTTTTTTTAAATAATTATTTAAGAAATAGATGAAAGTTACTTCTTAAAAAAATAGACCGCTTATTTTTTTTATAAAAAAAGTTAAAGCAAATATATCAAAAAGTAAGAGTGTTTGTTTTATTTAAAAAAACGCTTTTATAGGAAAAGAAGTTAAACAAACAGGTCCTATGTTGAAAAAAAAAATATTTTTGTATATTATTTTTTAATAAGAGTTTTTTCAAGTGATTTTCTCCAAGGAAAATGTTTATGATGAATTTTCTCTTTCTTTTCACTCTTCGGATTTATCATTTTTTTTTAAGTTTTAGTTTTATATTAAATTTTAATTTTTAAAATGATTAATAATTAAAAATAGACTTTTATTACAAAATAAATATTTTTTTATAAAATTAAAATATAATTAATATCTCAAATATTTACTTATAATAAATATTTCAAAATTTAAATATAATTTATATATTAAAAAATTCTTTTATTATATAAATTACTACAATTTATCATGTACATTTCTAAAAAATTATGAGTAATACATGAATTCGTTTCGACTTTAATGATAAAAAATATTCAATTTGATGAAATAAAAATATGTATAATTTTAATTTATTTAATTAGAGACAAAAATAAATATATATTTACTCATTTTTATTCATATTCACTTTAAATTTTTATATATTCTAATTTATTTATTTATTTTTATAAATTTACTTACATTTATTTATGTAATTTTTCCTCCATGATTACATGGTCTTCAACAGATAGAGCTCCACAAAGCATAGCAGAAAGAAGCAAAGGGGGAAGGGAGTGAGTGAGCAATGGACATCACTGCCCTCAAATCCCTAAACATTCCAACCGTTCTTCACTTTCCATCCAAACTCTCTCCTTTTCGCCCATTCACTTTCTTTCACTTCAAACCTTTTTCCACTCCTCGTCTCTCCCCGCTATGCTCTCTCGGTAATCTTTTCTCACTCTCTCTTTTTCATTTCTTTATGTATGTATTTTTGTTTATTCCGATGTTGTCGAATGCTTGTGTTGCAGATGGGTCGGCTAAGGTAACAAGCAAGGAAGGTGCTTTGCCTCGTGGCGTTGGAGAGGCAGTGAATGGAGCATCACGCTCCAAGGTTCTTCAGGTTGTGCTTGTCTCCCCTCAGGTAACACTAACATTCGCTTAAACCTAACATTTGTTTTGTTTGTTGTGTAGCTTTTGCTTTATGTTTGTTTTTCAATTTTGAAGATACGGTGTTTACTGATGCATCAAGTTAGCTGCAAAATTTTTGTAAATTTTAATAGATTTGAAGATGATATTTGTTGGATTTCAATCCTTTTTGAGCAAAAGTAGTTAGTGTAAGTAAATAGTTCGGCAATTGTGTTCTTTAACCAATGTTTGGGATTCCATCCTGACTCTTGGAGTCGCGACTAGAGATATAACTTTATCCTCATAAGATCGATTTGATGGGTTGGAGTGATACATTATTGAATGGAAGAGATGAAGCTTCAAAAAAATAAACATAATAGCAAATTGGAGCCACAACAAAACTTGTTAGGAGTCTTGCACTAAGTAGAATAACAAGTTCAATGTGGTACTTAAGGCATGGGGTTTTCCGGTTCCCACATGGTAAACTAGTCTTTTGGGTTAGGTTCTCCTTATGTGCTTATGTCCTGACAAAAGTCCTCAAATGTGTTTCGAAAACTACACTCTTCAACACTAGTTTTGATATGAATCAATCTTAGGTAGAGGATTTTGATTCCTCGTGGAGGACCTGGCTGAGTTGGTGAGTGGGTTGGAACTTGACTGTGGATCTTTCCACTGCCTGCAAAGTGGAAATGAATGTGTTAGTGATTAGATTAGATTTAGCTTGGTTGTGGAATGTACATTCTTATAGAAAATGTCGTATCTATTAATTGAGGATATGTGAAGTTGGGAAGGGGCATTGTTAAGTCACTTAAGTGCATGCCAGATGAGTGTGGAGCTTTTTTTGATACTTGATAGTATATGCAGATACGTTTTCTTTGCTTATGTATGAAGCATTGAAGCATTTCGGATATTTGTCAATGATTTATGAGTTTTCAAAAACCTTTCTTAGCAGAATTATTTTCACAGTTAGTATAGCAAGCAGGAATTGCATTTGAGTCAGGGACGATCCAAGATTCCAAGTTCAGACCACCTGTTGTTGTAATATTAAATACTATGAGCACTAAAAGCATATTTTCTTTATCTTTTATTCTTTAAATAGAAGATTATTTGTTGAACCTGTCAGTGCATCTGATAGAACCTGTGGTTCCTATCCAAGACTGTGTTAGCATACTGCCCAGGACCATACAGGGGACGAAAACCATCTAGTCCAGTTCGAAACTGCTAGGCCAAAGATTATTCGGACCTATTCTATAAGGAACAAGTGACTGGAGCAATTGGAATAGAATGTGCTTCCCTCTCATCGTTACCTAGGTTATTAGTTGTGGAGAGAATGTATCAATGTGTGGGGGTTTGGTCACAAAAGCAGTGGTAGCATGTGAAGGAGGTTAGGCTTGCTAATTTGGCACATGCTTAGGCCTGAGAAGACACATCTTCCAGGAGGGGGAACATCGCTCCATTATCTTTGTTAATCAGTTGTGTATAATTTGAATATTATGGAGGTGTCAGATAATTCTTTTGTTGGGGCAGTGGGGTTAGAGGGAGAGTATGGGAGTTATGCGTGAGATACAAATACATGGAAAGGAAAGATCGCGTTATCTGGAGGAGTTTCTTCTCTGTACGAACCATAAGTTCCATCTGATTCAACAATACTAATCTTTTCTGTATCTTTCTCTGGTACGGTATCCTAACAGAATCACCCATATATTACAAGAAAGACTGGTTTATGACATTTTGTGATTAATTCCTTATTCCTCTGACAGTGGATCCTATTCAAAAGAATGACCAACATTTATGAAAATAAATGACCTAACTATAAATATGACAACTTCTGATCTATGGTTCACCTAATTTTCAATTTAATATATTTGTTGAGATTATTGTAATAGGGCAATAGATATGGACTTGAAGATGATTTGAGTGAATATTAAAGATCAAATCACCTTAAACAAGTAATGAAGTTAAGCCTATGCATACTAAAATTGGCTTCAGTAAACATTTTTTTTAGCTCAGATTACTGAAGGTTGTTCTGGGATTTATGTTGTCCTTGGTAGATTCCAGGAAACACAGGGTGCATTGCTAGAACATGTGCAGCGTCAGCTGTTGGACTACACTTAGTTGGGGTGAGTTTTACTTTCTAAATTTAATTATTTTTTACATTTGATGATAAGATTGTCATCTATTTTCGTGTTTGGTTCAAAATACTAATGATCGCCTTTGTATTTCTTTATCTTTCAGCCATTAGGATATCAGGTGGATGACACTAAACTAAAGCGTGCTGGATTGGATTACTGGCCGTATCCATTGACATATACTCATTTAATTTTTATTTTTTTTCACTTGCACCTCTTCTTCTATTCCTGACAAACTCTTCTACAATTCACATATGCTTATTTAAATTAGAGAGAAATTCTCACTTGCATCTCTCCAGCTATTCTAGACAATCTCTTCTGCTGAGCAGGGTAGTATGTAATTGTCTATCACTGTTTATTTAAATTGAGTTCTGCCTGACTTTGGCTTTTACTCCTCGAAGCTTGTTTTGACTGGATGAAGTGTGATGTTTTTCAAATATAATGTGTCTAGACTAGTTTCAACCGATCAAATATTGTTTTGTGCAAAGTAACAAATAAAAACTGATAAAGTATTGACATACTTGCATTATTGCTTTTTATTTGTTTTCCAATATTGACACAAAATTGCAGATATGTGGTTGTTAAAATTCATGATTCTTGGGAAGATTTTCGTGAATATTTTAGACAACAGGTGATTGTCATTCTCAGAGATAAATTCCACATATCACATCTCCTTTGACTCAACATGTGACGTGTCACCATTGTCTTGTACAGGAGGGTGAAAAACGGTTGCTAGCATTTACAAAGAGGGGAACAAAAATTCATTCTGTGAGTTACCAACCATTAATTTTGATAGCATAGTTCTTTTAATTGCAGTATTTCTCCGTTGATGCATGATGTCTCTAACGTCTTCACATCTCCTAAGGTCTTATTCTTATCTTAATGAATTTCTTCTTTTATCAAAAAAAAAAACAAAAATCCAAGGTTTTGTCTCAATCCTTAGTAGTTTCTCTTCTATTGCTGTTGATTGAAGAAACAAATGACACACTTAAAAATACCGCTACAAATTTGGATCCCCTGTCGCAACCTTCCTATTCTACATTGTTTACAACTAATAAGAAACCTGGGTAAACAATCACAATATTGCAATTTAAAAAGAAATCATGAATGTCAATTCTGAAGATTGACTCTGATGAGTAATCTAATAAATTTATGTCAAGGTTTCAAGAATTTGTTATTAGTAGTTGATCCCATTCAACATTTACATGGTAGGTTAAATGATGGCTTAAAAACAATTTGAGGAACATTGTCAAGTGGGACAAGGTCTTGGATACGACTTTCTCAATTCCCTGTGGTTTGTGAGAGTCGCTCATTTGGGGTTGGTAGCATGTAGAGGGTGTTCTCATATTACATTGATAGAATTCATTTAAACTGAAAAAGGCAACTGATCCATTCCATTCAGTTTTCTGCTAATGCTAATATTATCCAACCAGTTTAGATCTAAATGAAACCACAATCCATTGATCCAATCCTATTTAAATTAGTTAGATTGGAATTACTATCTGCTCATTAATTATAAGACCTTTTCAATTAAATTACACCTTTAAGAAAATTAGTTAATTTGGTTAAGAACATTAAATTTGTCAATAATGTAAACTATTTTTCCAAAATTATCCTTAACTTTTCTTAAATTAGCATTCTCTTTCCGCTTAAATATTTGTCACTTAATTAATTAATTTTTGGAACAAACGGATATTTTTGTGTCTCTTTATCTTCTCTAATACTAATATTAGAGACTTTTTATCCAATTAATTTTAAACATTTATTATCTTTTGTCTAAAAGAATTGTTAATTAAATAAGAATATTTTAGAGAAGATATGATTAATGGGTCTTAGGAAAGGGCAAAAAAAAAAGTGAAAAGGGTTATATAGGGATGGAGGTAGTATTTTTTTTTTAATTTTTTATCTTATACTAGAAAATATATAAATTCATCAAATACAAGTCTAAACTACTTTATGAGACACACTAACTATAGGTTCAAACAAATTCATGAAAATCCATCAAAATATTATATTGATACTAAACATTGAGTCCAAGCTTAAATCTACTAATATCGTTAGGGTCACTGTATCTGAGATCTATCAAGTACAGGTTATATATTGATTTGTATTTGAAAGCTAATTAAATCCAATTAATTTTTATTTTTATTTTCTACAGTACTTCAGTTAGGTTTATTTGGTTTCCAGTTTTGTTCTTTTTGGTTTTCCGGCTCATTTTATTTTCTTGACATCCCTTAAAGCAAGGAATATGAGCAAGGTAGTGTGTGCCTTTGCTTCCAAAACAAAGCAATGTAAAGAAACTATGAACTGGATTATAATTGTGATTCCTTCTTACCTCGCAGGATTTTTCCTACAGAAAAGGTGATTATCTTTTATTTGGTTCTGAAACTAGTGGCCTGCCTCCTGAAGCCTTGTTAGACTGCAAAACTGAACCATTTGGTGGAGGAACTATCAGGATCCCTATGGTTGAGACTCATGTCAGATGTTTGAATCTGTCTGTAAGTGTTGGCATAGCTTTGTATGAAGCCTCTAGACAACTAAATTATGAGTCTCTTCAGGTACCTTCAGAAAGCTGTATTGATACTGCCGAGGAATCATTTATTACTGAAGACATTTTTGCTTGATTATCATAAATATTCTATTTTGACACAAAAGGGGGGAAGGGGGTTGTCATATTCCTAGTTAAATGAGATGGAAAATGTCTATTTCAGATTCAGAAGTTAATACCAAATCTGCACCTAATTCCACACACAACTCATTTACATGTGCCACTCACTAGATTTTGTCGAGATTATATCAACGCTGTTCTATACCAATCCGCATGTATTATTGCAAATTTGCAATCTAATAGTTGTGCCATTTCTTGCGGTGGTTTAAACATTTTAAACCTCACATTGATGCAGGGGAACCATTGGGAATAAAAAGGTTAAAGAATTACATTTTTACTTCTTTATTTAGTTCATTTAACTGCTTGAATGATTTTGCGCTCAACAATTTATCTTAGTATAAAATATTTTTATATTCATTTACATAATAGAAATTTATCTTAATGCCATACTCCCTCTCTATTAGAAGGAAAAAAATTTGATTTTATGTATATTAAGGAAATTGATTATCTGCATTAAATTTTATTAATTCTATAATGTTTTAATTCAAGTTTTTTAGTTATCATAATTATTTATGAATTAAAAGTTAATGTTTTAAAATAATTTATTGATAAATAAAAATATATATTTTAAAATATAAATTATTTATCATAAATTCAAAATAAAATTTATATATTTAAAAATATTCATGTATACTAATTTTAAATATAATTTATATATTCAAACATGGGAAGATATCAAATGAAATCGGTATAACTTTTAATAACTATTATATTACTAAATAATTTTATATTAAATGTGAATTTTGTCGATCCAACTGATAAATTATATCTTCAAATCATTTTGTATGTTTATGTCAAATTTTGTTAAAATTGATTAATAATTTAATAGTAATTAAATTATTCACATTTTATTATATTTTGAAAAGTATATATCATATCAATTTTAATTTACATGAATGAAATATCAAATTATCTTGAATTAATATAAAATTTTGTATATATGATATGAGTGAGAAACTTTTAATCTAACGATTAATTTTGAAAAATAATTATTTAATTAAAAGTTATTAAGTGATATAATAATTAGTAAAAGTTACATCAATATTATTTGATTCTTTCCTTTCAAACATAGTTATATTTATATATAATAATTTATTATAAAATTTAATTATATATATAATAAATATGTATATGTATTATACAAAATAAAATATTAATTTATTTATATTTAAGGAAAAAATGTATTTTTTTATTATAATAAAAAAATGGAAAGAGTATAATGTTGAAGATTAACACGATGTGATAAAGTGGTCTAATTTATTGGATGTCTGTGTAATTGTTTATATTAGCTGTGTATATGAATTAAACTCATGACATATATGCCTAGCCTGAGTATTATGTTTCATTATTAATAGAACATCTAAATATTTACTTGGAACTTGATCCTTTCCGTTATGGGAGAAAGTCACAATTCAATTGGATAGGCAAAACAATTATATTGTCTCTATCATAAATTCTCCATATTGTAGGTCCTTCCCTTTTTGTCACTTTTTGAAAAATAAACTCTAGTAACTTTTAGGCATTTTGAACAGAAATTATTGGGTGAATAATGTTTATCTAATGATTTGGATCAATCTAAATGCTTACCAACTTCAATCATTTCCGTGCACTATCTTCTTTTTGTAAGCTCTCAAATTTCATTTTAGATCCTTTAAATTTAAAGTTGTTTTTTTATTTAATTTTTATAATTAAAAAAAAATTATTTTAGTCTCTTAAATCACTAATAACACATTTAAAAGTGATAAATTAAAAAATTATACTACATCAATTGAGTTTAAGATTATTATTAACAGAGACACTAATTGATAGATTTTGTATGACAATACTTGAGAGATTCTTTTAAAAAATTGAATATAAAAATTAAAATAATTAATTTTAAGTTTGAAATATTGAAAATAAATATATCTTAAATGTGAGGACTAAAAACATCCATGTCATTTTCTTTGGCATCTCAATTTCTTTGACACAACATTGAGGGCATATTAGGTCTCTTGCACATGAGAACTTTAGAAGATGTACAAAACATGACGAGTTAGACTAAAATGAGTCATATGATTTGAGAACTCAATTAATCATTCATGTTTCATTGGGAGGACCATTATTCGTTATCCTTTAGGTTTTTTAGGCTCATGAGGACCAATAATCAAACTTTGAGAACTTTGGAACGTGGAAGTTGGAGCCAACCCATATTCACGTTGGAAGGACCACCTCGTTCATGGCTTGGAAAAATATTTACATACTTATTGTGCGTTTGGTTTCACATTTGATTCTCGATAATTGTGTTAGAATTAGTTGACAAAATTCTTTGAAAACTTTTACATGTTTCGTTTCATATTGAGGAATTAATTATGAATTTGTTTGGATACAAGTTATGAATATTTTTGAAAGTTTCTTTACTGAAAATAAAAAATATTATTCAATAATTTTTTTTTTTAAAAATACTTATAAATTTATGTCCAAACAAGTTCTATGAATTTAAATTGATTGAGTTAAAATAACTTTAAATAAATTTTGCAATGGATAAATTATTTTTTATTGAATTTTACTATTAAATTGTTTTCATAATAAAAACATTCAAACTTAAATCACATTACTTCAAAATCAACTTCATTAAAAATAAAAATTTCTCAACACTCATCGAAACACACTCTTAATTTCACATCAAAAAATTGATTGAGTCCCGTTTTGATTTTGAATTTAAGCATATTTAGAATTTAGAGTTTACCCTAAGCAACTTTAGCAGGCTGTACATTAGATGAAAAAAATATTCTGTTTTACTATTAACTTGATTTAAAAATAAAAATATCCAAACATAAATCATATCACTTTAAAATCAATTCTAACCCAAATCAATTTTACCATCACTCACCACAAGACACTTCAACTTGGTTCATCATATACATAAGTTTTCTTTCATCGCTTCTAGTGTCATTCACTATTTTAATACCATTACCAACTTAAGAACATATCTCTTAGGGGACCTTAGGAAGTTATTTCATATATGAAAATCATAATTCTTAAAAAGTTAAAAATTTTGAGAATCATAATTCTTGAAATACTTTAAATCTTTAAAATAGTTAGAATCATGATTCATTTATTACTCTTAAATATTTTTGGAGATATTTATATAGATTTTATAAGAATTAAATATTTTTACATTTAGTTAGAATGGTACTTTCTTGAACATATAAATATTTTTTTATAAAAGTATTTTTGTTAAAATAATATCATTAGGTATATTTCTTTATTCAAATCTTATTATAAATATAACATTCAGCTTTTTTATGATCTAATTATCTTTTGAAGATAATAAAAAAAATAATTACATATTTAAACAAATTTTATGTATAATAATATTTTTCTTTGATAAAACTTAAACTATTTTAAAAAGTTGATAACTTATAGTTAAAATTACTTAAACAATATATATATATGAGAATGGATCCTTTTACTTTAAAAGTAAGTCTATCTAGACTTACTCCGTTCAATAACTCATGTTCTACATCAATTTTAACAATTCAACCACTCAATTTAAAGTTCTTAATACATAGATCAAATCTAGACATTTTTAGAAGATTTGAAATTATTTGATATTTCGTTTCATTAATTCGAATCAATGTATAAAATAATTTTACGATTATCCATGAATTTGAATTAATGAAATGAAGTATCAAATGATTTTCAAACTTTCTAAAAATTTGTAAATTTGATCTATGCATTAAGAACTTTAAATTGAATGGTTGAATCCTTGAATTTTGATGTAGAACATGAGTTATTGAATAGAATAAGTGTAGGTAAACTTACTCTTGGAGTAAAAGGATCTCTCCTCTCTCTCTCTCTATATATATAGACACACACTTTGGAGGAAGATGAATTCCAATTAATAAACAATAGTTTTATGCCTTTATTACTAGTTTTATGCACAAAAATATAGGTTCAAACCATATTTTCATCATTGTAATTCTTGAATAAAAGAAGAAGAGGAAAGTGAAGTGTTAATTTTTTTTCATATGTATAATAATGACTACGAAATTTGAACTTAGAACCCTATACAGATTTACTAGTAATAAATAACATAATTAAAGTGTTTAATAGGACATGTATTTAATATTTTCATCAATAATAATAAAAAATAATCAACATTAAAATGAGTCTAGCACACAACCATAATTAATTCTATAAAAAATTATAAAAAAAAGTACACAATATAATCATACATAAGTCTTAACAAGCAAATAAACTACAAATAAAATATTATGAGTCCTATTTGAAAAAGCTTATGAATAATTTATTTGTACTCTTATTCTCTAAATGCTTATGAAAATGTTTGGACAAACTTATAAAATATCTTATGAATTGATTTCTCATATTTTATTATTAATTTTTATTTTTTTATAAAAAAAATTAGGTAAATAATGACTAGTAATTTTTTTATTTTTAATATTATTGTGATGTATAATGTTATTTTTAAAAATTATTTAATTACATTTCATATTTTTATTTTATTTTTAATTTCTTTTTATTTTTTTCAATGAGATAATATCTTATAAATTTTTAAATAATGATACATCCAAACACTTGAAAGTTGTTAAGTACTTATTAACTTATATGAATAATGTTATAAACTCTTATTACATAAGGGTTTATTAAATAAAATTTTAAATGAATTAATGTCTAAACAAACTTTAAATCAATGCCAATAAGTAAAAAATAAAGAAAAAATATGAATCAATCTAATATAGATCAATCCAACGGATTAATCCAATACAATTTATAATTTAACCCATTAAATTGAAATGTTACGAGATTTGGAGAACTAAACATTACAAACTATTGGGATCCACTTGAGTTAATTGTAAGGATCAATAAGTAATTGAACCCATTTTAACACTCTCCAAATATCCCAAGAGTTTTTGGGTTTAGGTTTTACTACGAGTGAAAATGATTGAAGCAACCTAATACGTTGTAAAATTACTACTATTATATTAACAATTATAAGATGTTTTAATCAATAAAAATATCACTTTATGTTGGAAATTTCTTATTCTTGTGGGAGAAAGATGAATTCATGAGTGATTGAATTTCATATTCTTTTGGAGCAAAGCAATAGAGAGAGCCAACTTCGTGAAGTGAATCCAAGAGGGTCCCATTGACAGGGTAATGGAAAATTGGAAATAATGATTTTAGTGCAATTTGGACCCACGCAAAGTATAGTGTCATGTGTGTATAAATATGCCTTGTCGGAGCAACCTTTATAACTCTATGCATCTCATCTGAATATGATAATAAGTGGAGAAGAAAAACACTTATGTTTTGTGCTTTCATCACAACCATAATGTTATGATTGGGGTTGAAGCAGGATAAAGAATAAAAAATCTTAAATAAATTTTAATTCGTGTAAAATAAGAATTTTAATTTTTCTCTCATTAATTTTTTTTTTCTAAAATTTGAAATCATTATTTTTTATTTATGTAAAATGAACAAATTTTGATTTTGATCACTATAAAATATTTTTCTTTGATTTTCATTGTTCTAAAATCTAAAATCATCATTTTAGTTCCTAATGTTAATTTTAAAGTAGATAAATAATATTTTAAAAATTTATAAATTTTCTAGAGGTGTCACATGCTGTATGCTGACATAATATCACATGTTGACATAATATCACATATAGTTGAGGATGCTGCTTGTGATTGTCACTTAATGTTAACTTTTCATAATAACATATAAGTAGGTAACAAGTATCACATAATAGTAGGATAAAAATTTACTTTCAGTCCTTCAATTTATTTTTTTAAATTTGCTTTTGATCTTCTAATTTTTATTTATTTTTGTACTAAATTAGTCCCTTTAAAATCATAATATGCTAAGACTGATCCTCTTTTGTAACTCCAGTAGTGACGATATCTTGTGTGGAAAACAAAAATATATCCAACGAACAAAAAAATTATTTTTAATATCTCTAAAATTGTCAAATTCACTTTTAGTCTTCTAATTTTTATTATGTGAAATTAGCTCTTGTAAAAATGGAACAAAACGAGTTTGATCCTTGAGAGGTGCTAATTCTATTTTATTTAAATTTTTCTCTTGGCAAGTTGACATATAGTAATAGTAGATATATATAGTTAGATTTCTTTTAATTTTATTTACTATTATTAGTTTGTTTAGTACATAACTTCTTTAATTTATTGTGACGAATCTTAAAATTTTGTTGCACTTAGTTATCATGTTTTCCCTAATATCATGCTTTCTTTTATAAATCAAGACATATTTTAATCAAACCTAATAAGTTAGACTAGTGTCCAATGTGTTAGATCAACGTATTCATTCTATAAGTTACATAAGTCTAATGCTTGTTTGAATGTCTTCTCGATTTTAATTGAACCCAATAAACATTAAAAATTGATGTTGATAGACATTCTAATAGCCTGTTTTGATTATAAATGTATATATGCTTTATTTCCTCTTTTGTGTATGTGTAAAAAATGAAAGTCAACTAGGCACTTAATTTGAATTTGGAATTCAAATTATTGGTAAGCCTACTCACCCAAGGTTAAGCAACCATGGTTTCTTTTCTAACTTTGGTTGCTTAGCTTGCTTCCTAAGCTACTTCACTCTATATATAGCTATCTCTTGTAGTTCTTATCACTTTTGATGCATATATGAGATTTTAGTTCTAAATTTTCTTTTCAAAAGTCTTGTTCTCTATAAGGAGTCAAACTCCTCAAGATCATTTATCAAGAAAATCCTTCTTGTGGCAAGATCATCACATCTTGGCTTATCTTTCCTTGAAGGTGGTGCGTCCTCACTTTCTTGTCTACCATCTTTGGAGTTTTCTTTTGCGTCTTGGAGCCATGGATAAAGATCGAAGGAAGTAGGAAGCAAAGTGGATGAATTCACCAATTATTCTTCACCTAGTTTCCATCATTTTGGTATCATGAGCCTTGGTTCTCATCCATGGAGGTTTTGTTTCAAATTCATGTTATTCATCTACTTTGTTATTGTCTTGCGAGTTTATGTTAAGTGGATCTAAATTTTGTATGCTAATTTTGTGGTTTTATCTATGTCTTGAAACTTATGGTTCAAATTTTTTTAGATCTAGCTTTCTATGAACCATATCTTGTTATGTACTTGTAAGATTCTTATTCCTTGTGCTTTCCTCTTTATTTTGGTGTCTTGAATGTTGTGATAAACCTATGATCTAGAAATACTGAAACTATTGCTTGATTTTAATTTTTGAATCCATAATTCAAGTTATCTAAAGTCATGTTTAGTTCTTATATGTCAAATACTTCCAAGTCTGACCTTTATTTTTGCTTGATCTATAAAAATTGCATGCATGTTGTAGCTGGCAGAGAGCTTTTGTAGCTTTTTATTTTATGATCCTTAAGCTCTTACAATCTAGTAGATCATTGGTACTGTTGAGTATGTGGACTCTGAAGGGTTTATTGGGCTTGACCCATTCGCTTGTATTTTTTTATTTTTTTATTTTTTTATTTATAAATACTCATGTAATTGTAAACCTAATTAAGAAATAGAAAATACCATCTAGTGAGGTCGTGGACGTAGGTTATTATGTCTGAACCATGTAAATTTCTATGTCTTGTGAATTTACATTCTCTCTTATAATTGTGCATGTGAGTGCGTTTGTGACCCCCTACAACATTGTTCATGTGAGTGTGTTTGTGATCCCTAACAACTGGTATCAAGAGCCCAGGATTTCACGTGAGTGGGAGCAATGACAGAAGATGGGAAACTGAAGATTGATAAGTTCGATGGGAGCAATTTTGGATTTTGGAAGATGCAGATTAAAAATTATCTATATTAGAAAAAGTTGTACCAGCTTCTGTTCGAGAATATACCAACGATGTCTCAGGTAAATTGAGAGTTTCTAGATTGATAGGCTCTAGGTGTTGTCAGATTGACGTTGGTGAAGAACGTCATCTATAACATTGTCAACAAGAATATGAAATATGATTTGATAAAGGCATTATCAAACATGTTCGAGAAGCCATCATCATCAAACAAGGTATTTTTGATTCATCAACTAGTTAATACGAAGATGCGAGAAGGTTCTAGTGTTATAGATCATATGAACGAATTTAATTCCTTACTGTCGAGATTAGTATCAATGGATATTAAATTTAATGATGAAGTACAATCCCTATTGTTACTATCTTTGTTGCCTGATAGTTGGTCGAGAACTGTCACAGCAGTCGCCAGTACATCTAGGACTACGAAATTGACCTTCGAAATTAAGAATTTAATCCTTGGTGAGGATGTTTGTAGGAGAAACGCTTGAGAATCAACATGTTCCTTATTGAGCACAGAAGGTAGAGGTAGAAGGCCTAAAAGGGGGCAAGGTTCTAGGTGTGATAGATAAAAGTCCAAGAAGCGAGAACATTTCAAACCTCGCAAGGATATTACTTGTTGGAATTGTCAGCATAATAATGGCTACTTCAGAAACCAGTGTACTGCTCCTATTGCCCTTAAAGAAAAGAGGCATGACAACACAATGAATGCAGAACAAGAAAACATTGATGATGCATTGATATGTTGCGTTGAGAGTAAGTTTGAATCCTGGATCATGGATTCTGGTGCATCTTTCCATGCTTCTCCTTACAAGGACTTGATGAAAAATTTTAGAACTGGAAATTTTGACAAAGTTTGTCTAGCAGATGATGAAGCCTTAGACATCGTAGGCATGTGAGATATAAATCTTAAAACTTTTGCTAATATAGTATAGACACTGAAGAATGTCAAATATATTCCAAGACTCAAGAGCTAGATGTTCAGGGATATTGAGTTATATTCGGAGATGGTCAGTAGAAGATGGTGAAGGGTAATTTAGTTATTGCTCGCGGTTGGAAGAAAGGAACCCTTTACATGGTAGAATTACCTACAGAAGAAGTAAATTCAGTCAGTGATGATGTTGGTCACTCTTCGACTCTGTGGCACCAAAGACTTGGTCATTGAGTGAGAAGGGTATGAAGATACTAGTCTCAAAGGGGGAAGATTCCAGAACTGAAAGAGGTAGAAGTTGGTTTCTATGAACCATGAGTGTTTGGAAAGCAAAAGATAGTTACTTTTTCCAAGTCAGGAAGGATGCCCAAGATTGAGAAGTTGGAGCTTGTTCATACAGATGTGTATGGACCAACATCAGTCTCATCATTGGGAGGATCACGATATTATGTCACCTTCATTGGTGATTCCACCATAAAGGTATAGGTTTATTTTTTGAAGCAAAAATCAGAAGTGTTTAATACTTTTAAGAAGTGGAAAGCTGCTGTTGAGAATGAGACAAGATTAAAAATTAAATGTCAAAAGTCTGATAATAGTAGTGAATATAGTAGTACTGAATTTGTTAATTACTATGCTAAGAATGGAATTAGAATGCTTAAAATTATTCTTGAGACACCTCAGTAGAATGGTGTTGCTAAAAGAATGAGCAAGACCTTGAATGAGATGGCAAAGAGTATGAGAATCCATGCAGGGTTATCGAAGACATTCTTGGCAGATGTAGTGAGCATAGCAGCATACCTCATTAATCAAGGGCCCCTCAATTCCCACAAGGTTCAAGATTCCTGAGGAAGAATGACAAAGCAAGGATGTAAGTCTTTCTCATTTGAAAGTATTTTGGTTGTATTTCTTATATTCATATTAGAGATGCTGACAAGGACAAGCTTGATCCAAAAACAAGAAAGTTCATTTTTATTGGCTATGGAGTAAATGATATGGGATATCGCTTCTGGGATGATCAGAATAGAAAGGTCATTAGAAGCAGAGATGTTACTTTCAATGAAAATACAATCTACATCTAGAGTAGATAGAGGTTAAGACAACATTCTTACATGGTGACCTTGATGAGAACATCTACATGGTGCAACCAGAGGGTTTCCAAATAGCAGGGAAGGAGAACTTGGCCTGTAAGTTAACCAAGAGTTCGTATGGGCTGAAGCAAGTACCAAGGCAGTGGTACTTGAAGTTTGACAATTTTTTGAGTAGGAAAGGGTACAAGAAATGTGTCATGGATCAATGTTGTAATTTGAATTTTTTTTTTCCATCTTATATCATATTACTATTATATGTTGATGACATGTTAGTTACAGGTTCTAATATGGATGAAATCAATAAATTGAAGGCAAAATTGTTTGAAGAGTTTGAAATGAAGGATTTGGGTGCTGTAAAGCAGATTTTGGGCATGAACATCAGTAGGAATAGATTTGAATGTTTCTTAATATTATCTCAAGAAAAGTATATTGGGAAATTGTTATAGAAATTCAGCATGCAGGTGCCAAGATCATAAGTACACCTTTGGGGGTTCACTTCAATCTCACAAAGGAGCACTCACCTAAGACAGATGAAGAAAAGGCAACAATGGCTAAGGTTCGTTATGCATCTGCAGTTGGTAGCTTAATGTATGCAATGGTATGCACTAGACCAGACATTGCTTATGCAGTGAGAGTTGTTAGCAGATTTATGTCTAATCTAGGAAGGAAGCATTGGGAAGCTGTCAAGTGGTTGCTACATTACTTAAAAGGTACTTCTAAAATTGCATTATGTTCTAGTAAGAATGATATTATTTTGAAAGGATATTCTGATGCAGATTTGGGAGGTTGTTCAGACACAAGGAAAAGTACTACAGGATTTATTTCCATAGTAGGTGGCACAACAGTTAGTTGGATGTCTTGACTTCAAAAAAGTGTTACACTTTCAACCACAGAAGCATAGTACATGGCTATTTCAGAAGCCGATATGGAAATGATTTGGTTGAAGAATTTTCTTAAAGAGTCGGGCAAGAAACAGTGTGACAATGCTCTTTATAGCGATAATCAGAGTGTCATTCATCTTGCAAAGAATCTTGTGTTCCATGCGAAGAAAAAGCACATCCAATTGAGATACCACTTCATTAGAGGACTAATCAGTGATGATATTTTGTTCTTGAAGAAGATCCCTAGGTTAGAGAATCCTGCAAATATGTTGACCAAGGTGGTTACTATTGAGAAGTTGAAACTTTGTATAGCTTCAACTGGCCTTCATGGTTAATTGTTGAGAAGGCATCGTGCTAGCTTGGAGGTGTTACAGTTTTGAGGTTTAGTAGTTTACTTTGGAGTGCAGTTGATGTGATCAGCCTCCAAGTGGGAGATTATTGAGTATGTGGAGTCTGAAGGGTTTATTAAGCTTGACCCATTTGCTTGTGTGTTTTTTTATTATAATAAATACTCATGTAATTGTACCTAATTAAGAAATAAAAAATACCATCTAGTGAGGCCGTGAACGTAGGTTATTCTGACTGAACTACGTAAATTTCTATGTCTTGTGAATTTACTTTCTCTCTTGTAATTGTGCATGTGAGTACGTTTGCGACCCCTTACAACATTGTGCTATGAGTGCATTTGCAATCCCCAACAGGTATGTTATTTAGTGTTAGATTTCTAATTGTCTTGAAGTTACCATAATTTCTTGCTTTCTTTTTGTTCTTTGTACTCAATTTGATTTTGATTTGGTGAAGTATTATTTTTTATTGAATTTATGTAGTAACATTTTTTGTATCGGACTTGATTCATAGTGATCTCCTTTAGGTCCAAAAACAAGCACAAACAAAGTTAGAAGTTGCCTTAAAATTTCACCAATTCTAGTTCAAATTTTGAGTTGTTTACTTCTTTAAGCAATTTTGAGTTCTATTCTTTTGGTATTATTATGACAAATATTTAATCTAAGAAAAGAAAAAAAGTCACATATTGCTCCAAAAGAAAAGAAACACAAAAGTGTATAAAAAGATGCTAGAAAAGTGTACTAGTTTAGTTTAAAAATTAGTGGAGCTTGTATGCAATTTTTTTTACAAAAATATTAAAAATATTTTGTCACATTTTCATGACTTAAAGTTTCATTTTTGTCTGAGTTCTAGCCATTAAATGTGTTATAATTTTAGTTTGTCTAATTCTTGAAATCTTGAATTTGTCATCAATAATTGTATTTGAGTTTAACTATTTCTTAATTTTGCTTTTATTAATTGCCTCTAAAAAAATTCTTTTAGTGTTGTTTTGGGTTCCAAATCTTCAAGAATGTGTTATAATTTTAGTTTGTCTAATTCTTGAAATTCTTTGAGTTTGTCATCAATAATTCTATTTGAGTTTAGCTATTTTTTAATTTTGCTTGTATTGATTGTCTCTAAAAAAATTCTTTAGTGTTGTTTGGGGTGCCAAATCTTCAAGTATAGGTTGATCCAAGAATCTTGCCACAAGGTAGTGTCTTGGAGTGTTGATTGAAAGCCTAGGTGGAACCACTTCTTGGTGGATATTCTTCTTTTGTAGAGACTTGAATACCAAACACCAAACCAGTGCCCAAACACTAGAGAAGATCTCATACACTAATAATGAGTTTGATCATTGTGTAAGAGAAAACCTTGGAGCTTTCAAGTTGTAATATTTTAGGAGTTTTTAATTCTTTATTTGTAAGGGTCTTTCATTTGTAAGTTTTTGAGAGGTTCTAGGTGTTTACTTAAAACTTCCAATTTTCTTGTTTCCTTTGTTAAGTAGTAGATGCTTAGTACTTGTGAAAGTGTGTTGGGAGACTCACAAGTATCCACCAAAACTTTCACTTAGGACACACCTAGTTGCATATTTTTTTGGCTAATTCTTTGTTGTTTTTCTTGCTTTGCACGCTAGGAGTGTTATGAGTTTCCAAAGACTTCTTTAACACTTTAGTTTGCCTTAAATGTTTAGGATATAAAACCTTACCTTAACCTTGCACTACATCATGAGTAAGCACTCACACACAAGCTCACATAGTGTTAGTGATTCTAGTTCACCACCAACTCTTTCAAAACTAATGGTTGAACTAAGAGCACTTAAGATATGGAGAGAAGAAGAGTTGTTAGAAAAAGAAAAACAAAGAAAGGAAAAAGAGGAATTATAAGCTATGTTAGAGCTTGAGCTTAGAAATATGAAAGAGAAAGAGAAATTCTTAAAAGAAAAACATAAAAAAGAAGCATGGTAGTAAGTCATCTAGTGGCTCTTCCAATAGCAAAAGCTATCAAAGTGGTAGTCTCAACATGAGTGACTACTACCAAAAAGAAAAAAGAAAGCATAAGCTTAGGAAAGAAAAAGAACAAAGTTAGGGAATCTAAAGTGAATCTCTTTTACTTTCATGGGAAAGATAACGTAAATGCTTTTGGACTAGGAGATGAAAGTGGAACGACTCTTTACTTTCCACTAAGTGAATGAAGAAAGGAAAGTTCTCTTGGCTACCCTTAACTTTCAAGGGTATGTCATGTATTAGTGAACGAGAAAAGAAACTTCATAATGACCCTCCAATTCAATATTGGAAAGAACTCAGAGGAGCCATGAGGAAAAGACATATTCCTTTACCATGGTAGTGAGCTTATAAATAAGATTCAAAGGCTCCAACAAAAAAACACGAGTGTTAGGAAAAAAATGGAGCTATATATTATAAGGGTTGAGATTATGGAAGAGGAGGAACCACCATAGCTAGGTTCTTGAGTGTCTTAAGTCTAGAGATAAGGGATAAGGTAGAAAGAACTCTTGCCATATAGAGACCTTAATAACTTGGTCTAATTATGCATAAAGGTAGAGCAATAATTATTAAGGAAGACTTCTTTTAAGAAGGACTCCTCTTTCTCATCATCATTTTGCCATAAGAAGGACTACAAGAGGGAGGGGTATTCTTTGAAGAACTACCCTAATAATAGACCATCAAAAGAAAAAAAAGAAAGAGAAAAATAAACCTTATTAAGAAAAAGATACCCTTAACACTAGTTGTAGGACTAGTAGCATCAAGTTCTTGGGAATGGGTCATATTGTCTCTCGATGCCCCACCAAAAAGACCATGATCTCAAGGGACATAGATCAATAAAATAGTCAAGAGGAAACTACTTCTTCCTCCTCCATCTCTAGTGAGAGTGAGGAAGAACAAGGGGTAAAATCAAATGAAAAGGGTGTTTATCCATGTGATAGTGACCTCTTGATGATTATAAGGCTTCTTGCAAGCCAACTTTATGATAATAATCGATCTCAAAGAGAGAACATCTTCCACATAAGATGTAAATTTTTTTGATAAAACATGTCCTCTAATTGTAGATAGTGGTTTGTGTTATAATTGTTATAGCACAAAGTTGGTTGACAAGTTAGCTCTCACTACCATTCAACAAAAAAAATCTTATGAATTTCAATGACTTAATAGGGACTTGGTAGTTAATCGACAAGTCAAAATCAAGTTTTCCATCGAAAATTATGAGGATGGGATTTTATGTGATATAGTTCCAATGGAGGGTTGTTATATTTTATTAGGAAGACTATGGAAATTTGATAAGAAATCTATGCATAATTGTTTTACTAATGAAATATCCTTCACCCATAAGGATAAGAAATTTGTACGTCATCCTTTATCATCTACACAAGTGGTAGAGGATCAAGTACAAATGAAATTCAAGAGAGATAAAGGAAAAAAATGAAAAATAAAATAAAAACTAAAGAGTAAAATGATGAAAGAGAAGGCAAGGGAGGATATTGTCCCCTCTTAAGAGATTGTCCATAATAGGAGTAATTTTGCAACCAAAAGTGAATTTCAAAGAACTCTTCCTATTGAACAACCTTCATACCTCCTCTTAAGCAAAGGGGGATTCAATTGCACTAACACAAAAATTGAGTTTGAGACTCTTCCTAATAGGGTACAAAAGCTTTTAAAAGAATTTGATGATGTATTTTTAAAAGAGGGTCGTAAGGGATTACTTTTCCTTAGGAGAATTGAACTTAAATTGATCTTGTTTCTGGAGCTAGTATACTTAATAAGTAAACTTATAGGACCAACCCCCAAGAGACAAAATAAGATCGAGTCTCAAGTTGAAGAGTTGTTGGATAAGGGTTTGGTTCAAAAGAGTATTAATCCTTTGTGCAGTTCCTTGCTGTTGGTGCAAAGAAAAATGGCAAATGGAGGATTTGTTGTGGCCGTAGAGCCATTAATAAGGATCACAAATAAACTCGTACCCGTAGATAATACCCGTACCCGTTGATAATACCCGAACTCGTCTCGACTTTGACGGAGAATACCTGGTTTGATCGGGTACGGATACAGTTAAAACCCGATATATTAACTAGGTACAGGTATCCGCCCTGTACCCGTCACCTTCCCCATCCCCGGTTTAATACCCACTCCCAATTTAATTGTGTTAAAGAATTTTAATATTTTATTATGTGTAATTATTTATTATAATGTGAAATATTTATAATTGTTTAATTATTAAGAAATCTCTTGATTAAAATATGAGATAGAGAAACAACATAATTATAATTGTAATATAATGAAAAAATAATTTAAAAATATTGTGTAATTTTTTTACAAAATAAAATAAAATAATTTTTTATGAATACAGGTATACCCGATACCTGACGAGGACGAGGATGAGGATGAAAATTATATACGCGACGGGTACGAGTACAGGTACGGGAATGAGTTTGAGTCACCGGGACGGGGATGGGTATCATGAAACTCATATCCGACACGCCCCATTGCCATCCCTAGCCATTAATAACATCACCATTATATATATACACTCAATCCCTAGGCTAAAGGAATTGTATGGTCCAACCATATTTTCCAAAATTGATCTAAAAAGTAGTTATCATCAAATAAGACTTAATGAAGAAGATGAATGAAAAACTATTTTTAAAACAAAAATTGGATGGTATGAGTGGTTTGTAATGCCTTTTAGGTTCAATAATGTACCAAGTACCTTTATGCGTCTAAGGAATCATGTTCTTAGAGATTACATAGAAAAATTGTAGTTATTTACTTTGATGATACTTTAGTTTTTAGTAAATCTAAGTGATTACTTAGAACACTTAAGACAAGTCTTGTTAGTTCTTAAGAATAATAGTCTTTTTGACAATGTAGATAAATGTAATTTTTGTGTGACTAGCATAGTCATGTTCGTTGGGGAAGGTTGAAAAACTCTTCTATAACTAATTGAGATTTAAGAGGAATCAACTAATAACTCGTTTATGAGTTCTATAGAAAGAGTAAGTCAATGTGATTTACCTATGATTTATCTTTTTGCTCTTCTTTGGAACATGACATTTTGTCTCCATCTACTGCCACATAGAGATTTACTTTTAATCTTACAAATTTTATGTTTAAAATATTCAATCTTTAACATAAGATTATGAGTTAAAATCTTACATTAATTAGTGATACATCTATGACAATATATAAAAACGATATGAATATTATTTTTATGTGCACATTTTTAAAAAATAATTTTACCACATAATTAATATAAATCAACCACCTCAATTACAAATTACCCATTATTATATAACTTTTATTATTTTTATTTTTTATTTAGCTATATATATAGAGACATGATGCCTCTTTCGTTGTAGACTTCCTAGTATAAAATAATGTATAAAAATTAAACAATAATATCACTTTTAATTTATCTATTAAGATCGAGTAAAAAATAAATTTAAATTATCATTATAAAATGTTTTATAATATGAATCAATAATAAATTGTTATTACTGTCACTTCTAATATACTTATTAATTGTTATCAATAATTTATCTTGGGGTCAGCTATCCCACCCTTTGAGGTACCTCCAACGTAGCGAGGAGATTAGTCACTGCTGTCGGCGGTGGATACTCCAGGGACGAACCAAAAAAAAAACTACTGTTACATAGCTTTTTTTTTTCATTTTCATCCTAAAATCCATATTTAATTATAAAATAATCAATATTACTTAAAATAAAATGCTAATTACCCCCAAAACAAACGAACCACAAAGCAAACCCCCCCAATGGTATGTGGTTCTTAACAGTGAAGAAAAGAAACAAACACTTAGTCACCGACTGTAATAACAGTACCACACCAGGGGTAGTTTCGTCACTCAACACCTATTTAATATAACAACTCATTCATACAAACACTGAAAAAAAACACTCTCTCCCTCCACGAGAGAGAGGAAAACAACACAAACACAATATGGCTTCGCACTCGTTCCTCCTCCTAGCAACGGCCATTCTCGCCGCCGCATTCTCCGCCGCACGCGGCTGCACGCCGTCGGACAGGGCGGCGCTCCTGGCCTTCCGCTCAGCCCTGAACGAGCCCTACCTCGGCCTCTTCAACTCGTGGACCGGCGCCAACTGCTGCCTCAACTGGCACGGCGTCAGCTGCGACGCCACCACCGGCCGCGTCACCGACGTCGACCTCCGCGGCGAGTCCGAGGACCCCATCTTCGAGAAATCCGGCCGCTCCGGCTACATGACCGGAAAACTCTCGCCGGCGATCTGCTCCATCGACACCCTCACCACCCTCGTCGTCGCCGACTGGAAGGCCATCGCCGGCGACATCCCCCCCTGCCTCACCGCCCTCTCCTCCCTCCGCATCCTCGACCTCATCGGAAACAAGCTCTCCGGCGAGATCCCCGCCGACGTCGGCAAACTCTCCCGCCTCACCGTCCTCAACCTCGCCGACAACGCCCTCACCGGGAAAATCCCGGCCTCGATAACTAAACTCAATTCTCTTAAGCACCTCGACCTCAGCAACAATCAACTCAGCGGCGAGATTCCCCAAAATTTTGGAGACCTCACCATGCTGAGTCGCGCGTTGCTGAGTCGGAATCAGTTAACCGGTTTAATACCGGTTTCTGTTTCCAAGATATACCGGCTCGCAGACTTGGACTTGTCTGCGAACCGGTTATCCGGTTCGGTTCCATTTGAGCTCGGGAGAATGTCAGTTCTCTCGACGCTCAATTTGGACAGTAACAATTTTAAGGGGTTAATACCTTCTAGTTTGTTGAGTAACCCGGGTATGGGTATTTTGAATCTTAGTAGAAACGGGTTTGAAGGTACCATACCCGATGTTTTCGGGTCACATTCTTATTTCATGGCTTTGGATTTGTCTTACAACAATTTAAAGGGTCGGGTACCCGGTTCGTTATCTTCGGCCAAGTTTATAGGGCATTTGGATCTTAGTCATAACCATTTGTGTGGATCCATTCCTGTCGGGTCACCCTTTGATCACCTTGAAGCATCTTCGTTTAGTTACAATGATTGCTTGTGCGGGAACCCGTTGAAGACTTGCTAGTTATAGTGGGTGACCCGAATAAGTATTTACCCGATTCGATTATTATGGTTTTCACTTTATGAAATGATGAAGGCAAAGTGTGAATTTCGGTGTAATGATTTTTTTGTTTTTGGTGTTAAGTGGTGTAGTATAATGGTTTAGTGGGAAAGGACAAAAAGAAAAAGAAGTGATGTTGACGCACTTTATTAGGAGGGTGCATACGCATCTGCATGCACGTGCACGACAGGACAAGGGTTTCAAGGCAGGAATTCATGTTTGTGTGATAATTTGAAAGTTATTCCTGTGTTGCATGTGAGCTTCCTTGTTGGATAATGTAAAAGATTTGGATAATGATTTCATTACTGTTCTTCTTTTATTAATTTTAAGGGTTTGGTTTTGTGCATGTCATTTATAAGAATGATATATGCGGTTAGATAACATAGTTGTCAACAAATTAAAGTGATATTTTTATGCAACTACTTTTGTGACATTTTTAAAGATGAACTAATTAACGTACGTGACATATTCTGGGTATTAAAATAGGGCCACTTGAACTTGATGAGTGGATTTGTAGTTTTGCAGTAACTATTATCTTATGGTTGGAATATTACTAAATATAAACATACCAAGGAAATAGCAATCTTTCAAACGAACGTATAACAAATGGTTTGCTATGTAATTTGATACTTAGTAAACTTGAAGTTATTGATTTGATGCATATAACCTCGAACATGACGAAATAAAACTTAACAGTTGATACTTATTTAAGTATATGTGCCGAAAGTAATCAAGTGTTCACTTCCTTTTTAGTCAATTTCTCTCAAACGCTGAAAAGGGGTTTTACTTCTGGCTCTTGTTAAATTAAAGCGTTGATTATGGAAATTTTTTTATTATATATCATGTTAAAAAATGTATTGAAAATTATCGCATAATACATTAATAACACGTTTTTTAAAAAAATTACTTTGTTAAGGGTACCTAGCTAAGTTCTCACTGGTTTTTCATTTTAGATGGATCCATGAATTGGAATACCGAAATGAGAGAACAATAATGCAGCTCAACTACCACCTGTGGGGGCACATGGTGCTGTACTCATACCCCTTCCCATATGCATTAACTACGAGCCAAGTCTTTATGCCATTCAAATTCGTGTAACATGTAAAATAAAAGCAGAAGTAAATGCATAGTTAAAAAGAGAATTAATGCAGCTTCAGTATCACATATGCATTATTTTTTGTATCCCTAAAAATAATAGATATGGGATCACACTCTCAGGACTATCCGAATATAAAGTCAATGACACCAATATTACTTAATGATTAGATGAAATTCAGTAATATTCAATTTGACTTAACACTTTATTTGTTAAAATAAAAATCAACAGAGATCCTATCAGAGAAATTTCAGATATGCCTTTACTCTTGTGAAGAGAAGACATACCATAAATTTGGTCCAATAATTTCGTAGCAAAAAATGAAGGAGTGGACCCCCCCTCCCCTTCCTTCCCCCATCTATCCCTGCTCTGGCATTCACATTCTAAGTGGCCCCTCAATGCATGTGAATTGATCCTGCACTTCCAATGCCATAACCGATTGGTTTGATCAAGTCACCAAGGATAACAATCCAGTTCAATGGAAGCAATTGCAGCCACTCTCACTGGCCACTCCACCATGTTTATTATTCATATCTTCCCCTTGTATATTATGATGTATAAGAGGATATGGGTCGTGGAACCGAGCAATAACATTGCATTGTTTCAAATGCAATGGACATATAATAGTGCTACCCCAATTTAAGTTATGTTTTCTTCCAAAGTATTTCAGAAGAGATAAATAAGAAGAAAAAAAAATTAAATAAATTTTTCTAGAAGTTAAAATTAGTTTATGTTTGAGATATTAAATTATAAAAATATCAGTCTTTGTAAAATTATTCCGTGCAACACGAATTCACACAAACAAGTAAAAAAGGTTTATGATTTAGGTCTTATTTCAAAAAGTTGAATATTGGAGCAAGTTTATACTTTTCATGACGAATTCACGTGATCATAAGAAACATTTAATTTGAAGCACTAGTGAGAAGAAAGATAGTAAACGAATAGGATGAAGTATCTTCATATAGGTTCTTGTGTGTTTTCAAAAGAGAAATTCTTGTTTTTGACTTTGTAAGATGTTGTCACAATAGTTTATGCGATATAATAATAATAATAATAATAATAATAATAATAATAATAATAATAATAATAATAATAATATAATATAACATAAATTCATAATTTTCATTATTGTCTTTATAATTTTATATCGATAAATTTTTTACGTACGTTAATGGCTCCAAACTCCTTGTTGACCTATAATTTCGAAGAATGGAGTATTTATAAAAGGCATTCAACATTCAAGTTAAGTTTGACACAAATATTTAGATAAGTAATAAATGAATAATAATTTTACCTCAATTTATGTAAGTATTTATATTGATCATAATAGGTTTTGATTTATTAGGCTTTGGTTATTCATTATCAATCAAATAATACGATTCTTAATGATAAATTAATCTCCTAACTTCATTTGGTCTCTTCATCAATTATGCAATCCACTTTATAATGATTTGTAGGTACGACCACCTTGGCGGTTTCATTCGTTTTGGCATTCTTGGCTACTGTGATGCCTATGCTTGAACTAATCGTATGTTAAAGCTATCTTCTCAACTATTTTAGCCATCGAGAGTGTCAAGATGTGTATACATATATCAAGGTTGTCTATCAAGAGTATTTCAACGATCGAGAGTGTGAAGACAATTGTATGAGGTTGGGTACTCGTGACTACATTAATGTGTACAAAAATTGTTTATGTTGACTATGTTGATCACCAAGAGTGTTGAAGTAACCAGAAATTGTTTGTAAGAGTCCATTTCGGTATACAAGACCCCAACCTTAAGGAGTCAAGCGACGATAAAGCTAAATAATTAATGCGATTATGATAGTATTAGCCTTGGGGAGCATAACTATCATGACACTTTTATTTATAAACATATTTGGGGAGTCGAACGATTACGATTTGGTGGTTGTTGGATTGTTACGATCCAATAGTTGTGACGAGGTGTGACGATTAAGGTTCATGAGTCCCGTTACTATAAATAAGGTGCACATTCATCTTTTCTATGCCTTACCATTATATTCTCTTAGTGTCGAGCAACCAACACCTTTTGTTTGAACATTTCACTAGGTATGTACTTGTATATGGCTATAACTTCCAACCGTCAAAGGTTCTTGAATGGAAACAATTTAGGTTGGTTCTTTTGTCTAAAGGTTGATTTGGTCATCTTCGCATATGTCTCATCGTCAAACGCTTCAATGAACATTGAACTAGTCTATGTGGATTAATGCAAGGGAAGCCAATTGGTTGAGTCTTTCGTCATTATGTCAAAAGGTCGACCCCGACGAGCATCTCAAGTTATAGTGAGATGAAAGTACCCTTCGATAACAATTCTTGGCTACGAGTGGGTGGATGGGAAAGTTGCGAGTGTCTTCTCTTGATACAGTGGTAGGACTTCATTAGAGCTCATTGTTACGACCAAGAAGTTTATAAAATTCAGGGCCAATGAAGATCCATTTCCATTTATTCTTCATCCTTGCTAAAATGATGGTGATCCTAACCTGGACTTCCTCTTCTTGGGTCAAAGTAACTGTATATACCAGTTCTTATATGTATACAATTTTTTGTTTGGGGACTCGCAACAAAACAACTAATTAAATATGGTAGTGTTAGTATGACGATTGAAAGAAGTTGCCACTATTTGCTTTATAATACAATTCTAGAATTTCCATTTTTTCCATTCAAAATATGAAATTTATAAGCGTCAGTGTTTTAACTGCAAAAAATGTATCTAAAATATGACATTGTTAACCTCCATTTATTAAAGATGCAATTATTTACCTTTAAAGTAGAGTTTTTTTTTTCTACTGAGTTTAACTTAAAGAATACTTTCAATTTCTTCTAATTTCAATTCCCATTTTCCCTTTTGTCTAGTCTAACCTCAACCTCACAAATTCTCTCAAAACTCACAAATCCTCTCACAAGCACTAATTATTTAATTATTTTGTTTTCTTTTCAATTTTTAAGTTCCAATGGTTAAAACTTCTATTATTATTATTATTATTATTACTACTACTATTATTATTATTATTATTATTTATTCAATTTTATTATCTTTTAATTTTTAATTATTTAATTTTATTTTATTTTTTCCCTTTCTTAAGTTTTGTTTTCCCTTAGACCCTAAAAACTACATAAATCAAAATCATCCCTTAAGCTCCTCGCTTGTAGCAATCAAGCCTCTCTCTCCAAAGCTCTTTGTTATTCACCTTTGGGAAAACAAGGCATAACAACAATAGACCCATGTATGTCTTTCATTAAAGCTGACTTTCTTTGTAAGGGTTTCATTTTAGGTTTTTTTGTGCTTAAACCCATGTGAGGAGCATGAGACCAATGAGGTGCATTAAAAATCATGTTCTTTCTTGAAAGCATTTTAGTAGTACTTGTGATTTCCTGTTCTCTACCACATTGTATTATCTTTCTACAAAGTCCTCTTGCTCTATTAGAGGGAAACCAATTAGTTTCCGTGGCCTATGAGTATAAATGTTATCTATACTAGATGGGTCCTTCATCCACCAGGAATCTACAAGGTCGAGGTCCTTTTGGCGTTCTCGATAATCGAAGAGCTCACGTGTACTTGTCCTAACTCTCTTTAGTGCCCTCAATAATCGAATGGACCGCTCGATTTATGAGTTTGAAGTATTGTATATGAAAGGAGAAGACATCTCCAACTATTTCTCTAAGGTCTTAATGATCACCAATCAACTTGAGAGAAATGGTGGAAAATCTTGATGATGTAAAGATTATGGAAAAAAATTCTCATATCATTAGATCCGAAGTTCGAATATATTGTTTCCATTATTGATGAAACAAAAGAGGTGGAGGCTATAACCATTGAGAAAATTTTAAGCTTGTTGCAAGCTTATGAAGACAATAAAAAGAAAAAAGAAAAGGATCATGGGGAAACTACTCAGAATGCCAATTGATTCAAGCAAAGAAGAAATTACTCGCAATAACAGAAGCCAATGAGGACGAGGTTGTGGTGGAGATCGAGGTTGAAATAAGGACGTGGTTAAAGCTATATATATGACGACAACAACTTTCAAAGCAAAGGAATCTTAATAAGAGGTCATGGACAAGGCAACTCAAGATCAAGGTATAATAAGTTAAATATGAAATGTTACAATTCTAAGAAGTTTGGTCCTTATGTGACACCTTCTACCCCACGTACCATAACACATAATATAATATAAAATTGAAATACCTCATATAAATAAAAGGACTCAAAATCTATA